GCTACGGCCATATTTCCAGTCTCACTCAATTGTCGTCATGGCGCCCGTATCGCTCCGAACCATCCTGCACAGTCCGAGCCAATCGGGACGCCTGGCCAAGTGGGCAGTAGAACTCAGCGAGTATGACATCGAATACAGGAACAAAACATGCGCGAAATCTCAAGTCATGGCCGATTTTATCATCGAGCTGCCAACAGAGAACGCCCGAGAAGAGTCACCCAACGCTGTTTGGATCCTCCACGTCGACGGTCATCCTCAAAACAAGGTTCTGGCGTTGGAATCCGCTTAGCATCACCAGAGGGTGAAATCCTCGAACAATCCTTTCGGCTAAATTTCGACGCAATTAACAACGTGGCTGAGTATGAAGCGCTGATAACAGGACTTAAGCTGGCTCGGGGGCTTAAGATCAACAAGCTGCGAGCCTTTTGCGACTCCCAGCTCGTGGCTAATCAATTCAATGGAGAATACGCGGCTCGCGACGAACGAATGGAAGGGTATCTTGCTCTCACGCAAGACTTGGCGAAACAGTTTGGAGAGTTCGAGTTAACCAGAATCCCGCGAGGCGAGAACACGTCAGCCGACGCCTTAGCGGCTCTAGCTTCAACCTCCGACCCAAATCTGAAGAGAATCATACCGGTCGAATTCATCGAAAAGCCGAGCATTGAAGATAATAGCAAGGACCAAATTTTAACAGCTCGGGAGACAGAAGAACCGGAAGAAATGGACATCGAACTGCTAGACCAGCAAACTACGGATGCAACCGAGCCCGAATACGGAAGCGACGCCAAATGGATCGGAGCCATCCGAAGCTACATAGCCGATGGAGAAGCTCCTACTGAAAAATGGGCAGCTCGGAAGCTTAAGGCCAAAGCGGCTCGGTATACTCTGATCGACGGAGAACTCTTTAAATGGCGATTTTCCGGTCCCCTCCTTATCTGTGTCGAAGGAAATGAAGCTCGGAGAGTCATGGAAGAAGTACACGGCAGATCTTGTGGAAACCATTCTAGCGGAAGAGCCCTGGCTATAAAGATCAAACGCCACGGATATTTTTGGCCGACGATGGTCAAAGACTGCGAGAAGTTTTCTCAACGATGTGATAAATGCCAGAGGCACGCACCAACCATTCATCAACCCGCCGAGCTCCTCTCTTCCATCACTTCGCCTTATCCATTCATGCGATGGTCCATGGACATCATGGGACCTCTACACAACTCCAAGCAGAAGAAACTCGTCCTCGTACTGACAGACTACTTCTCCAAATGGATCGAGGCGGACTCCTACGCAAGCATCAAAGACGCGCAGGTCGAGAACTTCGTCTGAAGAACATCGTGTGCCGCCACGGAATACCTTACGAGATCGTTACAGACAACGGATCGCAGTTTATTTCGGCTCGGTTCGAAGGATTCTGCTAGAAATGGGGAATTCGCCTTAGCAAGTCTTCGCCTCGGTACTGATGAGACCATGGCCAACACAACCGCACCACACGAACCCGAGGAGCAGCTTGTAGCCGAGGAGCAGCTTGTACCGGAGGAAGCACTAATCGTCCCAGCGGGTCCTCTAACTCGATCAAGATCCAAAAGGTTCAACCAAGCAATCAATGGACTACTTAGGGAGCTAGACAAGAAGCAAGAAGACGTGGCCCAAATCTCCCTTATGATGATCACGGCCCAAAGTGCTCGGTAAAGGGATAAGTGTTGCTTACGCACTCTTTTTCCCTTGTCAAGTTTTGTCCCAATGGGTTTTCTTGACAAGGTTTTTAATGAGGCCTAAGTAACACTTTCAAGCCTCCCTTTATCAGCCCAATTCATGGTCCAAGGCCCATCACTTTGCCTTGGCCCATTATCTTATTTTTATGTTCAAACTTTGCATTTAATGCCTTTGTAATTTCCTAGATACTTTGCATGAGCTTGCATGAGTGTGGACTTGTGCATGCTCGTGCATGTTCTCCTTCTCCTCTCTTCTCCTTCATCCTCCTCTTCTTTATATTCTCTTTGTAGCTCTCATTTGCAAACCATCAAACATTTTATCAAAAATCTCTCTTTTACTTGTTTGATCCGAGAAGTGTGTAATATCTTCTCAACTTGTTTTCTTCTTAGTGTGTAATATCTAAGTTGTATTCAAGCTCGTAGTCTAAGAGATTTCCACCTCTCTTGGAAGTACAAAACGTTCCACCTTCAATCCGCTGCAACAGTTCATCCGTTTGTCCGTTCATCTTCCACCTACGATCTCGCTCTTCTTCCATTCCGCTGCATCCTTCATGTTCAAAACCAACAAAGTGTGTTCTTGGGAATAGATCCTCATCTAGGAGTCTATCATGTGGTATCAGAGCCACTTTTTTACCAGGTTTTGATGTTCCAACCCTAAATTTTCTGTTTTTCTCGATTTCACATTTTTTTCCAGATTTCTGATCGCATCTTGTTTTAATTTTTAAAAATAATTGGCTTGTTGAAAAATTGTGAAACTAATTGCGTTCGAACCAGTAACGAGTCTTGTATTTTTGAAAATTGATTTTCGATTTTTTGGAATCGTTTTGAAATTTTTCCAGATCCGTTTAGATTTGTCTGTTTTTGGACTGTTTACTTGTTAGATTTTCGATTTTTCAGGTACAATGGTGACATCTGAAGACGAAGAGTCATCCACCTCTAGCTTGGAGAGAAAAATCTTGAAATCCGTCACAGCTGCAATGGCAACAATGATCGACGAGAAGCTTGGTGCTCTACACTTGAATCAAATCAACCCGGAACCAAATCAACCCGGAACCAAATCAACGTCAAAGGCAGCACCAAGAGGAACCAAGGCAAGATGAGGAAGCAAGAAATTACTATAGTCATGCCTCTTCTCACAATAGTCAACGTAGGCGGCAGCGAGAAAGACCCCCGCCTAGAGATCCTTTGGGAAAAATAAAATGAAGATGCAGTTATTTTGGTGTTATGTACTAGTCGTTGAAGTAGTACAGAAAGTAGTACAAGATGTGATTCAGGAAGATGAGATGCATAATTGCTGATGGGGGGGCTCGAGTACTTGGGTGTTGGAGCGTTTGTCAAGTCAAGAAAAGGAAAATTATCTTTGTTTGAAGCAAAAGGAGTCATGTAAGTAAAGGGGAAGTTTGCTTGAAGAGAAAAGGATTGACAAAAAGGAAAACTTTTTCCTTATGGGATTTGAAAACTTTCTCTTATGTGTGATTGGAAGAGCTTGAGGCGCAAGTTTCTTTTTGTTATATAAGGGGGACGTGACCTTATGAGAATGTGGATTTGCAAGAGTAAAAATCCCAAGGAGATTCGATGTGAGAGATTGTGTGTGTGATCGTGTGCGACGTAGTTTCGCGGGTTAAATGCTTGTGTGATCAAGCTTATTTGTGTGTTGGTGTTTAAGGTTCTCGTTGGAGAGTTTTGGTGACCATTGGGTTCGTTGGTGTGACGATTCGTGTGTGGTGGTCGTTCGAGAAACTTTGGAGAATTAAAGTCTAGACTCAGGGGAGTTTAGCTCAGGGTTAGGTTATCCTGATTAAATCTAGGCTCAGGAGAGTTTAGTTAAGGGTAGAGATTTATCCTTAAGGTTTCACGTTATAGAAGGGAGCGGTAAATCAAGAGGGTTGGGCTTGTTTTACGCGTTTGCGAATTGGTTGTAATTTGCTTTCTTGTTCTAGTGAAATCGAATCTGGACTTGGTCCCGGGGAGTAGGAAAAACCGAACCTCGTTAACAAATTTCTTGTCTCGTTTACTTTCTGCAATTTATCTTACCTCATCCGCACTTACAATTGGTATCAGAGCGGGTTCTCGATAGAGATTTAGTCTTGTTTCGGGTAGATCAGGGTGAGGTTCAGGAGATCGTTCAGAAGATTGTTCAGGAGATCGTTCAGGAGATCATTCAGGAAATCGTTCAGGAAGTAAAACAGAGCTAAGCATCGTGCGTTATGGATTCATACATCTCAGGAATATTTGGTCTAAGAGAGTTAATCATTATGATGATGGTGCAATGGTATTTCATTCTTCGTTTAGATGGAGGCGATCGTTTGGTTAGTTTTTGACCATGATGTGACTCAAGTAAGGGGAGATTGGAGTTATTGGTGTTGTGTTATTGGTGATGAAGTTATTGAAGCTAGAGTTGTTGAGTTCACATACATAGTCAAAAAAGGGGAGATTGAAGATGCAGTTATTTTGGTGTTATGTACTAGTCGTTGAAGTAGTACAGAAAGTAGTACAAGATGTGAAGTAGTACAGAAAGTAGTCGTTCTTAAAGATGAGGATTTGTCTCGTTTACTTTCTACAATTTAGGAGATTCTTTAGAAGATTGTTCAGGAGATCGTTCAGAAAGTAAGACAGAGCTGTGAATCGTGTGAGATGGAGTCATACAAGGAAGGTACATCTATGACAAGACCACCACTTCTTGATTCAGCGAATTATGGATATTGGAAGGTTCGTATGCAAGCTTTTATTAGTAATCTTGATGAAGATTGTTGGAATTCAATTGAACTTGGTTGGGAGGCTCCTAAAGTTACGGATGATGATGGAGTTGTAAGTCTCAAGCCAAGAGATAAGTGGACTGCTGCAGAGAAAAAGCTATCAAGTTGCAATTCTAAGGCTAAGACTGCAATTTACAATGCTATTGATTCAAGCCGCTTTAAGTTGATTTCTCAATGTGCATCAGCTCAAAAAGCATGGAAGACATTGGAGAATATGTTTGAAGGTACTACAAGCGTTAAGAGAACGAAATTGGATATGTTGGCTTCGCAATTTGAGAATCTAAGGATGGAAGAAGAGGAAACTGTGGCTGATTTTAGTGCAAAGTTATGTGACATATCTAATGAATCGTTTGCTCTTGGAAAGGTCTACAAGGACAAAAAGCTAGTGAAGAAGTTGAAGAGATCATTGCCTGCAAAATTTGAGTCAAAGATTTCTGCAGTTGAAGAAGCTCATAATCTAGATGAGATGGCTTTTGATGAGTTTGTTGGGATTCTTCAAGCTTTTGAGTTAAGCAAAGCATATGAAGCTAAAGGAAAGATGAAGAAGGTAGATGAAGTGAAGAAGGAAGTTGACATTGGAGTTGCTCTTAAAGGATCATCAACTGAAGATTCAATGGCTATGTTGTCAAGACAGTTTACTAAATATCTGAAACGAAAGGGAAAAGAGAGGAAGGATAGAATTGATGAAGAGTTGAGAAGTTCATCAAAGAATGTGCAATGTTTTGAATGCAAAGGATATGGACATGTTCGTTCGGAATGCGCCAATCTACAAAAGCATAAGAAGAAGGCCATGAATGTTGTCACTAGTGATTCTGAAACTGATTCAGATGAAGAAGAAGAAGATCTGAAGAATTTTGTGGCTTTGACAACTTTCAATTCTAGTTCAGATATAGATTCTGCGTCAGTCTCTGAATTAGTGTCTGCATCAGTGTCTGCAACAGGGTCTGCATCAGCATCTGCAACAGGGTCTGCATCAACATCTGCAACAGGGTCTGCATCAGCATCTGCAACAGGACCTGTAATTAAAAGTGAAAACGATGAATGTGATAGTGATGCAGAGAGTGTTGATGATGAAGAATTTGCTGAGAATTATAGAGCCTTATATGAGCATTGGCTTAAAATGGTTGAAGAGAATT